CCCCCCCCGTTGAGGTCTTATTTTTCTGCTTGCCTTGTTTTTCACCCCCCATGGACCCTTTGTTGGACCGTTTGCTTCCTGTTCGTTAGTCTTTTTAATAAAATCCCTTTGCTGGAACAATATCCGCACTGTGGTTCACCCCTCCCATAATGCCCCTCCACAACAGATATAAATAAAGAGACGTGTAACACATGCTTTAAAGCAGCTTTCAGAGATTGTGAAATTTAGCCTGCATCTCATTCCATTTAGTCTCCATTTCATCTCCACTCCACCACAAAAGCACCACGCATACAAGTGACTAAAAAAAAAATATATATTTTAATACACAAGATCATAAGCACGTTTCATATTTCATTAAGCATCTCGACATATGCTGATACTCCTTTGGTTTCAATACAAAGTACAGTATATACAATATTGGTTCAGTTTCTGACACTTGGGGGAAAAAAAGAAGATAAACAGAATATTGCAAGTTAGTCCCACAAAACAAAGAAAGGCAACGTTAATTAAATCTGTCTTAGTCACTAAAGACATTCTGAAGGTATGTGTTCTGGAGGAAAAGAGATATATTCATATGCACAGCATGACCCTGTATATTGAAATTAAAATTGCACTCTTCTGAGGTGTATAAAAGTTTTGTGTCATGAATATTAAAATAATTTCCAAAAATTAGCACTATTACTTTCTCCAATCAAGAATGACAATAAAACTATCACAATCATGAAATATGTTAAAATATTTATAAATATAGATATATGCTAAAATATGCATTCATATTATATCATTGTTTATAAGACTCTTTTATCCAAAGCAACCTACACAGCTTACAATTTGACACATTACGCATTAATGCATTTTATATTTTACTATAGCGTTTAAACATTAGTACCAAACAGCAGAGCCTCTCCTGGAACTTCAGCCAGCTATCCTGTGGTCATCACCTAATTTTCTAAGATGTACTCTAACTGCTGCACTTATGAAGTAAACACTCAATGGAAAAATAAAAAAACATTCAACGTGTGAGATTTGGCACTAATCTTTCAACCCTTAACAGTTAAAATGGAAGTGAGTTCAAATATATTCCTTTTTTTAAACAATACTTTTTCAAAACTTACATACAACTTGTACATATTTTGCGCAAACTGTAAAAAGGCTTTCCACGGCTTTTTCTTATTTAAAAACAAAGGAAAGGGAATTTAAAGGATTGTCTCCAGAAAGCAGGCTAGCTAATGAAGAAATGTTTTTTTTCACAATGACATCTGAAGACATATTATAGGTATTGTGCTATGAATGGACACTGATGCAGTCACAGTCATCGACAATAAAAACCAAAGGGCTTTTTATACTCTGGCTAATAGTATGGGGTAAACTGCAGTGTTTCCCAATCTGGTCTCGGTGACCCATGGACAGTCCTGGGAGGGAGCAAAAATGTGGACTTTCTAGCAGGAAGCTTGGAAGGAGCAAAAACATGGACCGACTGTGGGTCCCCTAAAACTGGATTGGGATTATCTGGGGTAAAGTATCAGCACAGTTTGTAATGAAGTTTTAAAATGTCCAGAGTAAACAATAATTACTTTTTTAATAGTGTAAAAACTGTTACACTATGGCTCAGTGGAAAAGGGTAATTAACAACAGTGAATGAATGTAATTAAATATAAAATGTATTTTATGTAATATATGTTGAACGCTGTTTTTTTTTTTTAATAAACGGAAAACAATATTACAATCTATTGTCAGGTTAATGTACAAGTAGGCCAGTGACATGTTACCTAACACATCTACTGTAGCCAGCTAAGGTGAGAAGGATGACAACATTACAAAGCAAAACAGACAGAAAAGGTAAAGCTGCAAAACCTTAAAACATGATACAATGACATTCATAACATACATTCTTCTTTAGGTAAAACAATGACAGTGTGCTAGAAATGGCCACAATGACTGTGTCTTTATTTACCTGAATATGTTCAATAATTCAGTAGAAACAGGATGGCACAATCAAATTTTTTTCTCGCTTTCCAGTATATACATTTCTTTATTTCTGTCGGTGGTTTCTCTATTTTATATTGTGTGAAAAGTAAAGCAACATACTTTGACATACTGTCATCCAGACAGGCACTGTCTCAATGCCTCTTTCCACAGTCCTGAACAATATTTCCTCATTAGCATTTAAATGTGTTCAGCTGAAAGGAATGATCAAACCACACAGTTTAAAAATGATTCGTTTTCTTGAATAAGTGATACAAAATCCGATAGATAGATAAATAAATAAATAAACAAACAAACAAACAAGCAGTAACACTGATTATCATAATTTGTCCTCATATTGGCCATCTGGTAAGTTTAATTAATTACATTAAAAAATAAATAGTTCAATAATGTCTAAGTATGCATGATCATCTCTTATTGTAAACCCGGACGCTAGTGAACTAAAAGGGCTAATTATTTTTTTATCTCTTCCCACACCATTACCTGTATTTTTTAGGGTTGTTGAAGCAGTTAAAATCATTTTCAGTTTTGCTGGTGCTGCTGGCCCCATAATGGCATTGTCAACAAAGCATTACACCTCACCAGAGTCTATTTTTAACTGGGTTTGGATCTGCACACTGTCAACCTGCGCTCCACGAGAACCAAAGACAACAGCTGTGACAGGATTCCGCTCCGCCAGTCTTTCATCCCAGCAGTTTATCAGAAGGATTATTAGTTTAAAGGGATTAGAATGAGAATAACACAGCAAATAAAACTATTTATATTCACATCTCCATTAAGTCAAAATAAATTGTCAAAACGTAACTGGAAATAACCTTTTCACTTTGTCCTTCTCCATATTTCTGCCCTGAAAACTTCCATCCATTCATTCATCCATCCATCCATCCATTTTCCAAAAGTAGGTTGCTTATCCTATTCAGGGCCACGGGGGGTCCAGAGGCTATCCCGGAGGCTATCCCGGAGGCTATCCCGGAGGCTATCCCGGAGGCTATCCCGGAGGCTATCCCGGAGGCTACGGGCACAAGCCCTCAAAACTTAACTTACATATATATACAGTGAAAATTTCCCTTTGTGGAAACTGAATATATTTCAAGCCATGACAACATGATGTTGAAAAATAAAAACAGAAAAGTTCAATATAATAATTATACAAGAAATGTTTTATCTTGATCGTTTAAATGCCATTTCAATACAAAATAAAATCCCAGGCTCAGTCAGACAACAGTAACAGTGGAACACCACAGTTACGGGTCTGCACACAACTACTGGCATGATCTTCAGCTGTTTTAAGGACTGAACACTTGTTCTAGTTCTTAGCTATTTCTACAGTCCTTTGCAGCAGTGTTTCCCAATCCAGAAGCTGCCTCCCAGCTCCCTGAATTGTGGGCTGTCTGGCAGGGAGCTGGGATGGATCAAAAACGTGGACCGTCTGCGGGTCCCTGAAGAGCAGATTGGGAAACACCGTCATACAGCACAAACAAAAGAAATTGGGTTTTGATTACACAGATCCATCCATTTATTTATTGTGGAGAGATAAAAATGTCAGGAAACTAATCCTCTCTGGTATGTTTGGATACAGAATATCTTCCTCCAATGGCTTCTCTCATTCAGAGTATTAATCATTAACATCATTAAAATAGTAAGAAAAGAAAGGACTATGCTTTGCTTGTCTCTAAACGGGGCCCATTTAGGTCAAGACATAAAGCAGAAACACTATATTTTAATTATAGACGATGGATTTTTTTCAAGTGTTTCAAGTGTATTTGAAAAAAGGCTCGATATCTGCCAACACTGATCACATTATTTATACACGATGCACCGTTGAAATTGATTGAATGTGATTGAACACGTATTAATAAGATGTCCGGCTATGAATGTCTGCAGTGAAGATGATGTTTTATCTTTACTTTAGCTTTGCATTTGTAATATTCTCCTTGCATAGATTTTGTTTCCCTTGCCTCTCATTGTTGTGTTATTGTGGATAGTAAGACTTTAGTAAGACTTTAGTAAGACTCTAATCATACTGGAATATTGTTTTATTGGATGAAAGGGGTTAGGGAGGGGATGGACAATGCTATTTGGTGAGTATACCCTGTTTGTACCATAGTTGTAGTCCCTGGTTAGCGGGGTGGCGGGGGGGGGGGGGGGGGGGGGGGGGGGGTGTCAATNGTCAATGGCTGTCTCTTACACCGCTGAGGACTGCTTGATGCTGTGAAAGCTGACTCGGGTGGGCGACGTGGGGATGGACATGGCGCGTGCCACCCTGGCCCGGATAGAGTGCTTGTCCTGCCACCGGTGCCAGCGCTTCCGGACGGCCGACCGTACCTGTGGAGAGAGAGACGGGAAAGAGGGGCAGAGGAAAGCTGAGTGCCCGTCGCCGATTCGGGGGGTGGCACACCGGGGAGCCAGGGGCGTGAAAGTGAAGCCCACCACGGAGGAGCCAGCTGGTGAGGAAGTCACACGGGAGCAGGGCCAGAAGATCCCGAGCGTTCACCTCCAACCCAAAGCCATTCCCAAAAAAGTCCTGCCAGGACTGAGCAATAATTAATATCCTGGCTGGCCTTGCACTGTTGGGGCCCCGGGCGGGACAGGAAAAGGTTCAATATTCTAGCTGTTTTTATATATATATATATACACACACACACACACACACACACACACACAAACATATATATATTTATATATATGACAAATAATATAGATCTTGAAAGAGGGATGCTTATAGAATGGATGATACAGGATTGCCATTGAAAACGTACAACCTAGAAACCCAGACAAATACAGGAAGCTCATGTAAACATCCCACACACACAGCTGCTACAGCATTCAAGCTTCAAGCCGTATATATCTACAGCAATTCTGATACAGGCGTCTGTTTCTTATTATAAACTGCGCAGAACGAGATCATAACCATTGAGACTGACTAAATAGCATCATGAAAGCATAATTTTGTGGTTGAAGACGCAGTTATTATTAAACGAGCCAATGAAATGTATAATTACCTGAATAGTGTGAAAATTTTTAAGCCTACAGTACGGTTTTAGTTTGTGCTCAGCTAGCTAAGACCAAATTACATGTTGAAGCACAAAGCTTTTCAGCAATGCTCTTCTGTGACTGATTTCCCTGCTCCCATGTGGGGCTGCTAATCTTAAACAGTAGAAAGAAGTCATAGTTAGCAAGCCAGCTGCTGTTGGAACATTCTCCAAGCAGGTCTCCCGCCAAAAGATTTCCAGATTTCCAACTAGTGACAATTTTCCAATAAGCTTTTTAGATAAAAATCTAAGTACCTAATCTATGTGGAAAGGACATTTCAGTACTTATAAAATGAAGGTATGAGCTAAGAAAACCAGCCCATGGGCGTTTATGCAGGCATGTAAAACCAAAGAATCTTTGACACCGACATCTGTGTTGGTTTAGAGCAGTGTTTTCAAATCCATTCCTGGGGGACTCCCAGACAGTCCACATATTTGCTCCCTCCCAGCTCCTTGCCAGACAGTCCACATTTTTGCTCCCTCCCAGCTCCCTGCCAGACAGTCCAAATTTTCCTGCCTCCCAGCTCCCTGCCAGACAGTCCAAATTTTACTGCCTCCCAGCTTCCTGC